CCAGGCCGGACCTGACCAGCTGCGCCCTGGGAGGGCAGGCGGTGCCCCACGGCCTGCTGGGCCTGATGCTCTTGGATACAAGATGACGGCAGTGCAGGGAAGAGGCGTTGCCGCCCAGAGAGGATGCACACCTCCCAGGGAGGCAGACGGGAGCTGCTGGGCGGGGCAGGAGAGGCGGAGGGTCCCAATCTGCGGGGCTCTGATGCCTTTCAGCCTCAGAGCAGCGGAGCCGAGGGGGCTGAACCTCGCCCTACTCCCCGACCCTGTCTGCAGGAGAAACGCAGTTGTGACACTTGAGAAGCCCGTGACCTGGAAATCATGGGGAGGCGTGACTCTGGCTAAGGGACAGACAACAGCAGCACCCTCGGGCCCTTCCACCCTCATGGAGAAGCGTGGCTGGCAGGAAGGTGTGTGCAGGGGTGTGCAGGGTGACGGGCACCACAGGCCTTGGAGGCCTGGATGGACGCCTGTAGCCGTGGCTGTTGGAGGAAGTGCTGGAGCGCAGCCCAAGGCGCTGAGAGCAGCCCTTGACGGGCAGGTGACCCGAGTTTGCCGGATGCTGTGGGTGGAAGGGGTCTCCTGCCCCACCGGGACTTTCCCATGCTGGTCAAGGGCAAGCCCAGCTCTCGGTCCCAGTGGAGCTGGTGTTTGATACGAAGCTTGCCATCTGCCCTTTGCCATCGTCTTTAGGGACGTGTGTAAGGTCTCAGGGCGTGCTGGTCTCGTCAGTCACAGTGAATGGTGTGCAGGTCTTCGGGCAGCACCCCCCGGCATCACTAGAGCAAAATCTTGCCATCGGTCTCTCATCAGTGGTTCCCAGAGTGGGGTCCCAGGACCAGCAACATCAGCACCACTTGGGAGCTCATTAGAAATGCAGATTTGCGGGCCCTCCTGGACTTTCTGATGTGGTTCCCCAGGTGATCTGGATGCAGGGTGGAGTCTGAAGACCACTGAGGGAGACCCCTCCCCTTCCCACCAGCCCCCACCCCTCCTGCCAGCCAGCCCCAGGTCCCGCCCAGTCTGACATCCTCACCTGTGCTTTACCAGCGCACCTGGAACCGGCGCCCCCTCGTCTCCCGGCTTCTCCTGTCTGCTCACTGAAGCCACAGAGATCCTCCTGAGAGGGAAGTCTTAGTGCACAAGGGGCAGTGGGAACAGGAGAGAAGCGGGAAGCGTGACCCACAATATGTCTATGCCCCACTCCCCACAGACCTGCCCTCCACTCCCTGCAAACCCATCTAATGTCTCTAGTGATCTGAGATGTATATGTATGTATATTTTGGTCTGTTGTTCCAGGTATGAAAATCCCCCTGTCACTTATAATTTCAAGATCAGTCTCATTCTGATGATTTCAAAAATCCCATGAGGTGTCCAGCAAAAACTTTAAAATGTACCCAGTTTTAAAACGTCTTTCCTTTCTCCAGCCTCCAGCCTCAGGCTTCAGGGAGAAGCAGCGCATGAGGGCCTTGCCCACCTGGGATGGACCGGGGCGGGGCGGGGAGGGAGGGTCCGGCCGCACAGGACCAGGCAGCTTGTGGGGCTGTTCAGTGCCTTTGGCAGTTCTGAGTCTGTCTCCGCTGGCTTCAGGGTCAAGTCGCCATGCGTTGCTCATCAAAACCCTCTGGACAAACTCAGCATTTCCCTGCAGGCCCGAGGACACTGACCCCACGCAGCCCCGAGGCATGTCCCCCTCCCCGCAAGCCCAACTCACTTCCTCAGGCCCCCTTTTCTTGTTGGCAGTGGTTGGAGCCCTCCCCGCATCTCCCGGCCTGGCCACATCCTGCTCATCTTCCATGTGAGATGTCTGGTCCTTCCTGGATGAACGTGCCCACCCGAAGGAGCAGCTGGCCGCCCCCACCCTGTTGTAACACATAAGCATAAGAGGTACCCCTAAAATAGTTGTGGATTGAATGAAGGAATGAGAGTCAGGATTCTGTAGCCCTGAGCCGCTGAAACCAGGCAAGCAGGCAGCTCTGCAGACCTCGGTACTGACAGACGGGTGTCCAACCTGGTCAGCTGCCTTACAACGGCACCTGCAGGAGCCCACGACTCAGTGAGTTGGTAAGGGCTTGTATCTTGTTTGTCTTAGTGGGGTCAGTGTTTAGGCTAGTGTCCCCAGACTCCCAAGTGTTTGCTGAAAGAATGAATGGGTAGATGGATGGATGGATGGATGATTAAGTAATGTAAATAGAAATCTGACTTAGGAACATTCAGCCTATTTTTTGGTGTTACGACCCACATTCTGCTTTGGGTTGAAGATTATATATTTTTTAATAGACTATGTTTTGTGTCAGTTTCTTCTGTACTAACCCTCATGCCAAATATAAAAATATGTATGATTTTTCTTAATCATCCATTCATTTATTCATTCAGCAAATATTTGTTGAGGTATACAGCTAATGCTTCCATTATTTAACTGAAGGAACTGAGCATTAACCATTACAAAAGCTTGGCTCTGATTTAATTTTGTGTTAGGCTTTCTCTATGGAATGAAATTCAGGATAGGAGTGACTCCAGAGGGTTTTGCAAATCCCCAATAAGGCGATGCTTTTTGAAAGAGAGTGACGTCATCCTAATAGAACAAAGTAGATAACAGAAGACACTTTATTATTGTTTTACTTTTTAAAAAGCATAATACACCTTTTCTTATGTGGTTTATTAACTCTGTTTTCCAGTGTGAATGTGTCTCTGTATCTATCCATCCAACCATCTATCCAGACTGCACGTTTATACTCTGCATAAAATATTCAAATATGTATATAAAATAGTTCTCTAAATGTAGAACACTATATTAAATGTACAAAATGTATTTATAAAGCATACCACATATATACCTTACATTTTCAAGTGCGAATAATGAACTTTAATTACTTAACCAGTTCTGGTGATTTGAGATACAAGTCTTTTCCATTTGGGTGATTTTACTTTAAGCTACCATTTAAGTTTTCCAATGCACACGAGCATGCTCTGGGCACGGGCGAAGAGTCATCAGACACCCTGCCAAGTTGGGTCTGGTCCCAGAACAGCAGAAAGCCCCTCCTCCCTAGCCTGGCAGTGCGTCTGCTGTGACTTGTGATGATGTATGGCTGTGCCACAGCTTGTTATGTCATATCCATTGATGACTCTGTATAATTAATTTGATGCCATCTGATGTAGCAGCAGGTTAGACATTTAAGAAATAAAAAGTTGTCCATGCCCCATGGAGCACATCTGCTTAATGGCATAATTCAAATTAATTTCCAGCAAGTCCATAAAAGCTCAGGGAACTGTTCTGCATTGCAGCCCGACGCCTCCCGGTTGCCACAAATGAGGCTCTGTAGAACCACTCAGCTTGGCAGCTCCCGAGTCTATTCACATGAAGTACATTTTAAAAAATTGTTTTCATTTAAAAAACCATTTCAGAACTACGCGACTGTAAAAACAGTCCACAGAGTCCCCGAATACCTTCCCTGAACGTCCCCCGATGCTAATGCCTTGCCCGATCGCACTACACTGATCGAAACCAGGAACTTGCTGTTGATTCAACCCTGCCAACATATAAACCGTGTTCAGCTTTCACTAATTGTCCCTGGTGTCCTTTTTCTGGTGCAGGATTTAGTGGGCATGTTCCCGAGTCACCTCCAATCTGGCTCGTTTCTGTCAGGCTTTCTTTTGCGACCCCAACACTGTTTTTCAGAGTACGGGCCTACATTTTTTTTTTGTTTTGGTCTGTTTTTTTTTGTACAGTGCCCCTTGACTCGAGGTTTTCTGTCTCCTCATTATTAGACTGAGGTTATGCACTCCGGGGAAGAAAACCACCAAAGTGCTATTATGTCCTTCTACTTGAGCAGGGGGTAAATGACCCTGTCTTATTACTGCCAAGGTTAATCTGGATCCCGTGGTTGAGATGGTATCTGCCAGGTTTCTTCCTTATTATTTCTTCTTTGTGTTATCAATAAGTATCTTCCGAGGTGATAGCTCATGAGTATTCAAGAGCCTGTTTCTCATTATCCTTTGCCCACTTCAATAGGCGTCCATCAACGATTCGTGTGCTCAGTGGTGTTGTTACAAAATCATGATTTTCCTATCTTCTATTCCTTCTACATTCATTAATTGGAACTCTACTAAAAAGAAGAGATTTTTCTTCTGCCACTTAATTATTTATTCAATTATTTCTTTATACAATATGAACTAATAGACATTTCTTTTATTATATGGGTTGTAATCCACTGACATTATGATTTATCCTTTTGTTCAAAAGTTTCAGTTGGATAACAGTGTCTTTAAGTCTATTTTCATTATATATTCTTATTAGGTAGTTACTTTTTCACAGCTAAAAGGACTTTCTATGGTTGTCCCACTTTGAGTGCAATGGATTCCAGGCCAAAGGGTTGTTTTTACAGTGTTTGTGTTCTCAGAACCCAGTGGGACCTCTTTCATGCGGTGGGCACTCAATACACTTGTCCTGGGAAGCTGGATGAGTGAGGGAGTCAGTGAGCGGATGGGTGTGCGTGAGAGGGGCCGACGTGGGCTGAGTGCCGCTCCGGCGTCCGATTCTCCTGCCGAGCTCACACGAATCACCTGGGGGCTTTTTGGGGCAGACACTGGTTTGGTAGGTCTTGGAGGGGCCCGAGACTCTGCATTCCCAGCAAACTCCCATGAAACATGCATTGTGTTGGCTGAGGACCTGACGTTGAGCAGCAAGGTGCCTGGGTTCACGTCTGACCATATCTACTACCTGCCAAATAGGTAATCTTACGTGGGTCACTTGACATCTTTTGACCTTGTCTTCTTCGTCTGTAAAATGGGGATAGCCATAACAGCACCCCCGTCTGAAGACTGATACAAGCATTAAGAAAGATTATGAGTGTGTCTGGCATATAGCAAAAGCTGATTGGTGATCCTATATTGATAACTGTTAATTAGCAACAATGAACAGTAAATAATCTTGTTCATAAGCAACAACATAAACACAATCTGAACAGTGGTCCTGATTAGCCTGCCCCTTCTCCTGCCTTCAGGTACCTCTCCTGTGCTTGGAATCTGGAGCTCACCGCGGAGTCCCGGGAAGCAGCTGACTGGCAGAGAATCCCCGCCCCCTGCCAGGTGAGCAGGCTCGGAACCCTCTAGTCGTACCATCTGGCATGGGTGCTGACAGAAAGCCAGCGAAAGGCTGCAGAGGTGAGACAGAGCCCGCCCTCACGGATGGGACCTGGGGAGGGATGGGCACAGTAGGCACACACTTGCCAAGCCTGCTTCCCTCAGGTGGCCGGAGGGACGGTCTGGAGACAGCTGAGCTTGCAGAGTGGCCTGATTCCTCTGCCCCTTTCTCAGGCTCTGGGACCCTCAGCTGCGTGAGGCGGTGCTCCTGCCTGCGGAGGCTCAGCACGGAGGGCCAGTCACTCGGCCGTCACTCTGCCCAGGAGCCTGCACGTCTTCTTTCTGACCGAGCACAAGCTGCCTACTTTGAGGGACAGAGGCAGTGGTGGTTCGTGTTTCTGGATCTGCTCATACCTGGCTTTTCTGCAGGTGCCTTATCCCTGGGAGGGCAGATTAGGACTGAGTACGCATGTCATGGATGCCAGGTCCCGGGCGGCATGCATTTCTCCCCTTGGTCCGCACCATGTCTCTGTGAGGGGTAATCACACCACACACTTAGCAGAGGTGGGAGTTCCCGCTCTGAGATGTAAAGAAAGTGTCTGGAGTCACACCTTCCATGAGTGGCAGATTAAAGATGCTCCTAGTGTCACCAGGTCCCCAAAGCTTCTCTTTGTGGTACACTTGCTGCAGCAGGAGGCAAGCTGGTCACACCTGTACCTGTCCTCCAGGTGCAGAAAGACACCACAGGGCAGGGCAGACCTGGCACCACGCCCAGAGATGTTACGTTCCCATGGCCAACGGGAAAATCCATCCTTAGCCTGCCCAGCAGTGCTAACCTGAGCCGGGCATTTGGAAAGCATGAACGCCCCTCCAGGCTGTTTGGCGCAATGACTGCACACGCCTGCGGTGCTAAACTACCCACACCTGTGTGCCGTGGTCAGGAGGACTCGGCCTTGCTCTCAGCTGGGAGGGGACATGTGTCTGCATGGTGCGGGGAGGGGGGCTCCACCGGATCATTTTGTCACAGTTAGAAACAGGATTCCCCTCACTTCTTGGAACAGATCCTCACTGGCAACATTTCTCTCTGCCTTTGCCCATTTGTGGGGTGAGAAAAACAGATGCTCCAAGTGCTGGATCCAAGAGCCCCGTGGAGAGGGAGGCCATGGCTTGAATTGCTGCTGCCTCAGCTAGAGGGGTCCACGGACCACCATCGTGTCCCCTCTGTGGACACCGTGTCCCCTTCCGGTGTATTTTTAGTCTGTACCCTGGAAGCCTCACACACATAGTAGACAGCTGGGGAGAGACCGACATGGCCCCATTTATTATTGAGTAAGTATTTCAGTTCAGGGGTTTGACAATGAACAAGATAAGGCCCAGCCTCCCGGGCTTTCTGTTTGGGGATGGGTCAGACAATCATTAAGTGGAGGTGTAGCTGCAGTAAAGAAATTAGAACAGGGTGATACGGTAAAGAAGTGGGAGGGATTGGACCAGGGCACAGGGAAGGCATCTCTTAGGATGTGACACTTAAACTGCCTAGTGTGACAAGACGTAGCCAGCCGTAAAGAGGCCAGAGAGCAGGGGCTCCCCCAGAGACTGCCCTCCACGGCCCAGGAGTTTGCTCAGCTTGGTGCCCCAGGGCCCTGCTCTGAGAATTCTCTCTGACTGTGGGTTTACCTGGAGTCTGTTCCCAGTCTTCCTGCGTGTCTGATACATTGATCACCATCAATGAAGGCAGTGTGACACAGCGGCAGAGGCCTGTGGGCCACACAGATGGGGGTTCACTTCTACTTCTATCACTAACTTTTTGGGTGACCTTAGACAAGTTACTTAACTCAGATCCTCAACTTTTTCATCTCTAAAATGGGAATGATATCATCTTTCTTGCAGAATTGGGAGGAATATAGGGAATATAATGTATAATTGAATGCAATGCCTGGTCCACAAAACGTGCTGAATAAATGAAACACACATGAATGCATACCACTATGTCCATGTATGCTCATTACCAGACATTTATATGTAGTAAGTACACGTGTGTCTGATGCCTTATGCACACACGTGTGCACACGGCTCAGCAGCCGACACACTCTTGAACCACAGATTCAAGTAGGATTTACGAAGGAAACTAGGCAAAGGAAACAAATATTCATTAAAATCTGATCATTTCTTGTTTTCTGCTTAATGCTGTTTTCCTGAGCCATCTGGGAACAATTTATAGAAAACCATAATCATGCATTAAATATTTCGATTTGTTCCAGGCCGCATGTATGGAATAAGCGATATAGAGATCGACTGTAGAGTCAGCAGGTCGGCGGCCCCACAGCATTTGTTCCTGCAACATGTTTCACCGTCTCCACGGTTCCCTCCCATCTTTCAGGATCCCATCAGAAAAAAAATGCTGGTTTCAATAAACATATTGTGCAGGAGAAAACAAAGAGTAAAGGCATTTCTGTGTTTAGTGATTAGGAAGGCGATTCAGGATGAGGTTGGCTGAGAACGGCATTTTCTCTTTATTCGGATAGAGGGTCTCTGGGGACCCCTCAAGAATGGCACAGCCCCGCCCCAGGGAAGGAGAAGTGCTCTGCAGACAGCACAGGCATCTCAGTCCTGTGTCCCGGCCTGGGCGAAGGGCTCACCAAGGCGGTGGGGCTCCTGGAGAGCTGGTGACTGCCCCCGTCGCTTTGTGCATCCTCCGATGCGGGTGCCCGTGAAGCAGCGGGCGGAGGAGAAAGGGGCCGGGTCGCCTGGAATTTGGGTTTTCCGTCGGGATGGAGGGGATTGCTGCTGGCCATGTACCGGGGTTCAGCTGGAGAGAACTGCTTTCTCAGCCCTGGACTTGGATTCGAGTGAGAGCAAAAGGAAGCCATCAACGATGAAATGATGGGTGAAAATGGGGTGAGAAGCCCAAACTGCAGGGACAGGAACACAGAGGGGACCAGCCAGGCTTTACATTCTGTTATGATTTGATGCAACTCCAGAGAAAGTCCTAATACCACCATTTCCACATGTGGACTTGGGGTCTTGAGGACTTAAGGAACTTGCCCTTGTTTCCCCACTAGCAGGTTTCAGTGGGACTCAAACCTCAGCCACCTGGTTCCACTCAGGGCATCTCAGACCCTCATGCTGCTGGGCCTCTGGGGTGCAGAGTGGTCTTGGGAGTGTCCCCACTTCTCTCTGCTGGCACCCTGCCTGCCTTTTTGTGCTCAGGCTCCCGTGTGCTGCTGTCCCCATGCGAGGGTCCCCCTGCAATGTTGCCGGGAGCCTCCCTGAGCGTAGGCTTGTCCCCTTGCCCACAGTTCGGCTCAGAGCCCTAAACATGTTTGGGACCAGTGAGTGCTCACTGGGTGGCCAGGGACAGTGACGGACGGGTGAGCCAGCAGAGCCCGTACCAGCGCACCACCAGCCCTCCCTAGAACTGACCCTGCGTCCCTAGGTGCAGGGAAACCCTTCTCTGGGCACCTTCCCTGCCCTGGAGGACGCGGCGTTTCCCTTCCTGTTCTGCTTCTGCCGCTCTGACACCCACCCTGCCCACCCTGCCCACCCTGCCCACTCAGCTCACTCGCCGTGGAATCCCCTTCCAGCTTGTCATCAGCAGGCAGAGACTTCTGGAAAGAAGGCCGACCAAATGGGGAGCGACACTTCTCTGGTCCCTGTCCGAAGGCTGACGTGGTCGTTCTGCTGTGACCTCAGGCCCATAAGCTCTGGGACGAACATAAATGGGCACTCTCTGTGACCTTCTTGCACAGGGGTCATTTGTTCAAGATGAGGAGGGTGGTGAGTTCTGCCTTCCCCAGAGGAGAAGGACATGAGGGTCAACAGGTGGTGTGGGTGAATGGCCAGCTCCCCACCTGTGTCCTGCAGAAGGCTCTGGGATGGTAGCTGCACCTGCTTCTCACTGTCAAGGTCGCAGAAGGTCAGAGAAGGCCTCAGAGCTGAGGGAACACAGACCCTAAGCACAGGGAGGGAGGAGGTCTGGACTGTAGCCACCAGCTGGCCGGAGGGATGGGGCAGTGGGATAGGGAGCCGGGGTGCCGCATTGTTCTCAGTGCACGGGCGATCCCATGAGGGATCAGAGCGACTGGCCATCTGGACGACCCTGGCAACACCCCCCACCCCTGGGGCAGTAGTGCGCTTGGAGGCCTGCCTCACTCTCCTCCCAGCCGGCCGGCCCCGTGCCTCCCTGGCTGGTGGGGTTTCAGAGGGCAGACGCGGGCAGGTGCATTTCTTCCCGCTTAGTCTCAGGTCCGTGGCCTGTGGAGCCTCCTGGAGTCGTAAGCCTCTGCGTCCCTAGGTGCAGGGAAACCCTTCTCTGGGCACCTTCCCTGCCCTGGAGGACGCGGCGTTTCCCTTCCTGTTCTGCTTCTGCCGCTCTGACACCCACCCTGCCCACCCTGCCCACCCTGCCCACTCAGCTCACTCGCCGTGGAATCCCCTTCCAGCTTGTCATCAGCAGGCAGAGACTTCTGGAAAGAAGGCCGACCAAATGGGGAGCGACACTTCTCTGGTCCCTGTCCGAAGGCTGACGTGGTCGTTCTGCTGTGACCTCAGGCCCATAAGCTCTGGGACGAACATAAATGGGCACTCTCTGTGACCTTCTTGCACAGGGGTCATTTGTTCAAGATGAGGAGGGTGGTGAGTTCTGCCTTCCCCAGAGGAGAAGGACATGAGGGTCAACAGGTGGTGTGGGTGAATGGCCAGCTCCCCACCTGTGTCCTGCAGAAGGCTCTGGGATGGTAGCTGCACCTGCTTCTCACTGTCAAGGTCGCAGAAGGTCAGAGAAGGCCTCAGAGCTGAGGGAACACAGACCCTAAGCACAGGGAGGGAGGAGGTCTGGACTGTAGCCACCAGCTGGCCGGAGGGATGGGGCAGTGGGATAGGGAGCCGGGGTGCCGCATTGTTCTCAGTGCACGGGCGATCCCATGAGGGATCAGAGCGACTGGCCATCTGGACGACCCTGGCAACACCCCCCACCCCTGGGGCAGTAGTGCGCTTGGAGGCCTGCCTCACTCTCCTCCCAGCCGGCCGGCCCCGTGCCTCCCTGGCTGGTGGGGTTTCAGAGGGCAGACGCGGGCAGGTGCATTTCTTCCCGCTTAGTCTCAGGTCCGTGGCCTGTGGAGCCTCCTGGAGTCGTAAGCCTGGTGCGCTGCACCTTTAATAACAGGACCTTCAGGGGCATATCAGAAAGTAAGGGGAGGGTGTCTCAACTTTGTTAAATAGATTTTTACAAGGTATAGATGCGTGTGTGTATGTAGGTGTGCAGAGAAACACTCCAGAAAATAACAAAAGAAATGAAGTTAACAAAATGAAATAACAAAATTAAAAGTTATATTTGGTGGTAGTTTTCCCCCCTTTATTTCATAATTGTAAAATTTTCTATAATAATGAAAAAGAAGGAAATACCATGGTTAAAACAAATGATTCGGAGTGGCATACTATATTGAAATATATCACAAGGGCACTAGGACATGTTTTTGAGGGTGAGGTGTGGTGGATACCCTTGAGCAATCCTGCCTCGCCTACTGTGTCCAGCTGTGAATGACCTGTAAATTCCCACTGCCTCAGTTTCCCTGACTGAAAAATATAAATAGTATTCGCACCTCCCTGACAATGTTGTTGTTAACAGTTAAGAAGTTAACTTTTGTACTTATGAAATGTACTGTTATGCATTGAATCTACTTAGCAGCATACTTATAATTCATTAGTTTTTAAACACTACGTTTTCAACCAGGAACACAGCACACCTTTAAATGATTACATCGAATACTAATAGGGAAGAGGGTAAAGGGTGAGTCCATCCGTGACACTTGTTGTCCTTTCATAAAGGGCAAGGGGTGAAGTTGTCGTGGAGAGGAGGCCACTGCTTCAGTAAGGTTTGAACCTGCCACCGCAGGCTGTGAGTTAGGCAGGGGAACCTTCTTTGCTCACGTCTGGGGCAGGGAGACCGAAGGGCAAAGCGGACCAGATGAGGTTGTCAGGGTCACCCGAGGCTGCGAGCCCCAGGCGGCTGTCCCATGAAGTCACGGGAGCTGGAGGCTGAGCCCTGCTGTCCCACGTTGACCTTCCTCCTCCCCGTTTGGAGCCCTGCTAAATCTGTGAAGAGGCTCTGTGGGGGAGAGCAAGTCCCCGGGGGCATCCGGAGGAAGTCCTTCCACATCTGTGTTTCCACGGGCTGCATGCTGCTTCCCCAGCCAAAAGCCCGTGTACCTAGGATGGGATATTCAGCAAATAAAAACAGAGGATGCCTAGTTAACCTTGAACTCAGATACAGGACCTCTTTTGTAGCCTAAGTAAGTCATGTGCAGTGGGTGGGAGATACTTATAGTAAAATAAATTATTGGTTGCTTCCCTGAAATGCGGTTTTAGCGGGGCGTCCTGTATTTGCCCTGGTGGCCCTAGGGCACCCACTCAGGGCTGCACTGGGATGGTGCTGCTGGGCGTGGTTAGAGGGGAAGGGAAGCAATACCCACTCCAGGGTGAGGTAGACAGTTAATTTAAGGCCAGGGTCAGCAAATTACAGCATGGGCCGAATGCGGCCCAGCCCTCGCTTTGTGAGTGAAATTTTCCTGGAATGCAGCCATGCCCGTTCGGTCGCAGATTGTCTGTGGCTGCTTTCATCCTGCAGGGACATGTTAAGGAGTTGCCATAGAGACCGTGGGGTCCAGAAAGCTAAAAATATGAACTGTGTGCCCTTAACAGAAAGAGTGTGCTGAGCCTCATTCAGGACGTCGATGGGAGGAAAGAGGGCCGCAGAGAGGAGCCCGCCCCGTTGGGGCCACTGTCAGGGCTGCACGACCCCTCCCGCCTGCCAGGCTCACTCTCTCCCGAGTGGAGGGACCGAGGGAGGCTCAAGGAGGCCAGCGTTCTCATCCAGGGCTTGAGGCACAGGGCAGTTGGGAGGACAAAGGTCTCAGGAAACCAGCTTCCAGAGATCTTGAGCCGAGGACGTCAGGAGGCCCTCCCCTGCCTCTCCAGGCCGTGCGGCCACACCTGATCACCAGAACAGGTTCCTCTCTCCGGAGCTTCCTCCCCAGGTGGCTCATGACCTCGAATAGCAGCCTTGGCCCCTGAGAGTAAGGACACTGAGACTCCATGTGACCCACTTCATCTTGCTGTCTTTGTCCTGTGCATTGACCCTACGAGACAAAGAGAATCTAATGGAGGCATGTGGCCAGGCAGCGGGCACTGGCAAGCAGGGTGGGGACCTCAGCAGACTGGCTCGCTGTCCCGACAGTCACAAAGCCTGTGAGGGGCTGATAGGCTTTGGGTCCAGACCCTCATCACTTACCTCCCCACAGAGGGTGGGGCCGAGTAAAGAGGGAACACCCCCCAGTGTGAAGGTCACGGGGCAGAAACCCTAAGCCTCAACAAGGTCTTTGCCATCCAGTGTTTGAATCCAGCTGAAACTCAGCAGAAATT